ATTATATATATATATATTTATATTTATTGATTATTACATACACATGTCTCAAGGGATATATTACCTCCACTTGATTCCGATTCCAACCTCAGGGCCTCGGCCCAACCGCGAGGCTTCTAGCAACAATCTTCCGGCCCCGCGAGGCAGATCATGGTGTTTTTTTAATGCTGGATTAATAAATAGGGAATACCCTCTGGTAATTTAACATAGCTACTGAAAATGGCCATTTATAGTGAGTTTTCCCATGAAAAATGGTGATTTTCCGTAGTTATGTAAACGTTTACCAGACGGTATAATTTGTGTCATGAAATTTATAGCAAATCCCCGATGAGTATTTTCAAGGGAAAAGCATCTATAAATCGACAATTTTCCGTTGCCATGTTTGAGTACGGGAGGGTAGTGAAATCATGAACCACCTATTGAAACAACAGTCTCGTGCTGATTTGGATTGACTTATAGTTTTTGCCATCCCTCCCAAGCTAAGATCGAGCCTGCCATGACTTTGGGCTTGGAAGAACACTTTCCTCCAAAAGGTGGTGATTCTTAAGGGTGGAACTGTTCGTTATCAGAACTGGCGTCCTTTTCTTGTTTGCTAGTCATACCCCAAATCTGTTGCATTTTTGGATTTTGCCAATAACAGTGTGAACGGATGAAATGGGCTTGGACCTAAAGGAACTGGAAGAATGATTTGAAGCAAACATGGAAATGGAACTGCTTGCCATTCAGTCACTGTAGTTGAGCTGGCATGAACAATTTCAATGCATCGAACGAATCGAACTCCAAACAGGGATGATTCAACTTGGCCGTGGAATCCCCAGAGTGGCCAGGACATTCAGATTTACGTACTAATGACATTCGAAACTCTGTTTCCAGGTTGAGATGGTATATACCAAAGGCCAATCATTGGTTATTCCACCATAAATGGGCTAGGAATACTCTCCACCATATGTGGCAATTGCCAGTCACCCAGTGCAGTTCACTTTTCAATCAAGGATGATTCTTTTTCAATAGGTTACATTGCGGAAGGGTATAGCCAACCGAAGCAATGTTACAAATGCTACCAATCTGGATGAATTGATAAATTGTAGCCACCTCATGTCATGAATGATGCGTGCTGGATTGGGGTAGCTATCCCACAATAGCCGAACTTTTCAGGTTAGTGAGTGATTTTATTTTCTTCCCGCAGTCCATTGAAATGGGGAGGGGTCAAAACCCATTCGTTCCAGATTTGGGGGAATAAAAAACCATTAAGCAGTTTTTTTAGGGTACCTAGGGCCCCAAGGTTTTGACTCATAGCAAAATCATAGACAAGTGAAAGTTTGTTTTTGTTTCCTAAAGCAGGGGAGATCAATGGCCCCCTTTTGAACGCATAGTCTTGAGTTTCGCAAGTCACGACGGGATGTTGATCGATGGGGCTCCCAAAGTGGCACTACAACAACTAAGGCCTAGGGTTTATGGTGGATACGGATACATCGAAGTACTTATATGGGGTTATAAACCAACTCATAATTAGGATTAATTAGGGGTTTCACTATGTTTCACTGTTGGATTTTTGGTAGACCTATCATGATTGTGATCTACCTATGTATATAGTTACCGTTAAAGATGGGGAAAAGAAGTGGCAAGAAACATGCCTGGATGGCCCTTCCTGTAACACAGATTCGATGACTGCAGAACAGGTTCTCAGCAAGCTGATTGCTATAATCCAGGGTCCGCAACCATGTGAAGCGGGGAGTTTTTTCACGACCCCCGGGGCTACTGACATGGGGAGCACCATGTGAGTACCATCAGATTCTCACCTTTTTGGGGGCAACCCCCTAGTGAATAAACCACGGTTTATTCTCCGAGGTTGGCATGAACTAGAAGGGTTGGATAGGTCGGATAGGTGTTCTACAGTTATGCCAACCCTCGGAACAAAATCGAAACGTAATGGATATGAATTTGCCATAGCTTCAGTAGGATGCACCACAAACCACATCTAGCTTTGGATAAATCTCCGTATTTGTTTTTCGCATATCAACCCCAACTTACCCTTCACGATCCAACTGCATATCCCAGAATTATCAAATATATCATCGTTCATACAAGATCCTGCCAGTACATATTGTATTACCTTGGGTAAGCTAACATAGATGTGGAAAACCCATGGTTTTCCTAGGAACTGATCTCCCAAATTCAAATGGTGGATATTCCAGATCTTTGTAAACGTTTACAAAAGGGTATGCATTATTGCCAGCCAACATTCCATGTCTCATTTTACATCCCAATCTTTTTGCAGAGTGCTGGATGTGTTTCTTCGCCCCAGGCTCTATAGCTATGGGAGTCTGCCAAAGCCCTACCGCTGACAAGGTCCTTCCCACCTTGCAGTTTCAGCTGGTATACCAATGGTTGGGGTTGATATTACCCTATGGTAAACGAACAGTTTGCTATGGAAGATCACTATTTTCATAGGTAAATCAACTATAAATGGGACATTTTCTATAAGAGGGTATAAATGATGATAATTTATGGGAGTTTATGTATCATGATAGTATCAATGATCAGCTGGGGTCACTCCCTATAGTATACAGTAATACTTCAATGGTACTCCCCAATGAAACAGCCTATGTAAGGGCTTATTGGTCCAGGGTTGACATCGATCTAATTCATCATCTATTTAGCCCCAAAAAGATAGAGGAGTCAAATCCTACAAAAACAGACTACCATATTGTTTTTCGATTTGTTTTGAGGTACTGTATATATATATATGTATATACATAATTATATATATATATATAAACAGCCACATCGTTGCTTCACAGCAACAGTGCATATGGCAACAATAGTATGCCCATGGTTTTCTTGTAGCCATTGACCTGGACATGATGAACGTGGAGTTGACCAAGTGGAACATCTGCAGTCACAACAAAGAACCAAAACAGCAGCTTTGGAAATGATGAGGCGTTATACAATGATCACTAATTATCTACTTGAAGATCCCTTTGGTTCCATGGTTTCACCATTTTGAAATCGTGTTGATGTGAGAGTCTCAGTTTTTTCTTCTTTTCAGAGGGTTCATGATGTCCTTGATATAGATGATGGAAAAGACTCATGAAACTACTATCCTGGAAATGTGGAATGCTTCAATGCTTCACTTGATGATTCCATTTCGCAAATTTCGATGAAATCCCAAGCCACAGTTGCTACGAATCGCTTGTCTCGCACGCGACACATTTGGCACGGCGCGTCGTGCCGCAGCGATGACTTCGCCGGGAGGCCTAGGAGATGGCGGGATGATGGGGCTGAAGGTCAGAAATTGATCGATGAACTCTCCAACCCTCCATTTGTGGCCACAAACATTGGTGTTTGTAGGTCATAAGTGTAGTACTTTTACCATTTTTTTTTGTTTATCCACCTCCATGGTGATGCTTCATTATTGGGTTTACCGCTTTACATCAGTTAGTTGGTACTAGACTACCCATGTAACCATCAAACAGATCTTTTTGTTTAACAAACAGGCGGCCAGCGATGGTGCATTCCTTGATGTTGTACCCTAGTTGTGCTTGATCGTTTTGTGGGGAAGGACCTGGGCCAGTTCTTCTTTTCTGGGCAGAGTTCAAAACCTGCGAGCCAAGGACTTGTCTCACTTGAGGAAGCTGATTTGTGGTTTATTTGAGATTCAGAATTGAGATATCTTGAGCATCCAACTCCAAGTGAGGCTCATGATGTGGGGCTACGGATCTTGGTCAATGATGTTTCGTCGGAAAACATCGAAAAATATACATATGGTGCTCATTCTTGACCAATACTGAGGTGCCATGGCAACTTGGATGGATTGTAGCCATGCACTGATGCACTGATCGATGTTCAGATAAGGATCAGATGGCAGTTTGACATATTGCCGAAGTTGAAACTCCCCATGGCCCACATTGATCACCAAGACTTTTGAATTCGAGTCTTTTTTAAAAGGCAGAATCCACATTTTCACCTTGACAAGTCAAAGGTCGTTGGCCATGAATACGGAGTCTGGCGTCATCAACTTGAAATTGAGGCCAAAAGCTGGGAAGTTTCTTCAACAATTGGATTTGATGAGGATATATAGCAATGGGATATCCAAACAACAATATGGTAATTTTAGTGGGAAAGATGGTGATGAACCACGAGATATATATTGAATTACGTACCATATCGTCAGACAAACCCAAATGAAATTGGTCAAAATTAAAACGATAGCCCTAGTCACAACTACTGGACATTTGTAGGGTGAGTCTGACCGTGAATCACGACATTTTATTTTGGTATCAGCATTGTTGCAATTCTGATCCGGGATTGGTGGATCTTCACATGGGGCACCATGTGAGGAACATGTTTCACTGTGCAGGTCTTTTGGGAGGACATACTAAGCCACTGCTACATCGACAAGTTTTTAGGTGTTACTGACATTGTCAGTAGAGCTATCCTCTGCGGATTCTGATAGGTTTTAATCACCTGAGTTGGGGTTGAAGATGTCATCAAAGTCTTGGTCCCAAACAACATCGGGATCCAATATGCACTTGGCGCAGCGTTGGCCCAGAAAGCCCAAGCATAAAACAGCTGAGGCAATTCAGAAAGCCTTTCAGGACTGAAGTGAATCTGGATGATTTGTAGAGAAACACTGTCCCACCGAGGAAGCGTGAAATTTAAACCAATTTGATTGCCACAAAAAAACAGCTGGGAGTCCTGGGAGCTTGGATTTTTTTGTTGGATGTAGTGTTTCCACTGACGCAGGCGTCTTGGGTTCTTGGTTCAGCTTTAGGTCTCTCACGTAGAGGTCAGCTCGTGGAGGATAGCTGCCATAGCTATCTGAAATTATCAGACATATGGTAAAATGATGTAAAACAGGGTACGAAAGGATTCAAGAGTTATGACTCCAAGTCTCAATACTGAGGATTTTTTTCAAGAGGTGCCCCGTCAGACGCCACTAACATTGGCCAATTTCTTGCTACAAACCGTGAACCTATCCTTGGTGAAGCCGCACCGCCATGGGTCTTTGTCAATCCCATGTCGCTTGGCCTGCTACAGTAGAGGGATCAGTGACTGATGCAGAGACATGGCAAGACGAATTGAGCAGTGACCAACACAGTTATGGTCCATGTATATACAGTGCATATATATATATAAATATATATATATAAATATTAATATATATATAAATATATATATAAATATGTAAATATATATATATATATATTAATATATATATATATCATAGATCATTATATATATATATATATATCAACTTTTAAGTTATAAATGGGATGATAACTCCCGCAACTATTAACTAAGGTACTTATGTATCCTTATAAGCCAGTTGTAACTGGCTTGAGGGCTATAACTGCATCCTTCTTGATTCTAATGGGGGTTCTACTACCTGGTCTATTCGGAGCAGCTGCCAGCTGCTAGGCAAAAACTACATGGAACTGTAGCACTAGAAGTGGATGCGGGCAGTTGCACAATGTCGGGTTGATTGTACCCTTGAATCATCTTAGTACTGTGACCAAAACACACATATTTGCAGCACTCTTGGACAATTAGGAGAGGACACCTCCAAAAATAATGGCTTTGAGAAGCCAAGTCTTCCTTTCTCTTAACCTAATCCATCCCTCTACAAAGTACACAGGTTTTGGGAGACGTCCCATCTTTCGGTTCTCTGCAGAACTTCCAGTTTGTTGCTGTGCTTGAGGAAGATGATGTCATCGATGCAGATGATGGTTTTGAAGGACTTCAATCGAGCTCAGAGATTGCGCGAAGGCTTAGGCCTAAATTGGGTCCAATTTTCTGAAGCTGGGGATGGTTCAGATTTCCCAGGACTTTTGCAGTGAGTCAATTTGGGGGTTTCTGAAAATGGCGGATCCCCAAAACCATGGGTTTCAATACTAAAATGATGGTTTCATTTTGGATGATTTGTGGGTACCCCAATTTTAGGAAACTTCCATTTGGGTGTGTCTGAAAAGCCAGTTACTACCCACCAGATGGCCGAAGAGGGAAAGTTATGACAAATCATGCTGCAGAAGTTTCCGCCTCACTCCAAGAGAACAGCTATAGAGTGGTTGGGATGAGAGTGACGGGCACGTCTGACAGCATGTCGGGAAGCACGTATTCTACATGACTGGAAGAGAACTGTTTGGGAGGACATGCCCTGGAGATCAGCATTTGAGTGGTGTCTATATAGGCTACGAAACCTCGTTTTGTTGGAGATTGTCTAACATAATCATTATCCTTTCTGGCAATATCTATGAACAAACAAGTACAATGGAATGGCAGAGGGTTTCCCACCGTTGCTCATTTGAGTATCGGCAACAATGCGTTTGTCAAGAAGACTATACAGGAGACTGCTAGTACCAGCAGATCACAGGGTTCATCTTGATGTCTGTGGATTCCTGTCGGAGACACCGTCAAGACACAATATGACTTGATCAGTACTATGAAGTCGTATTGTGTGTCTTGAAATTGAGAAATATATAGAAAATTATAGAAATATATTGATATTAATTATATATATATATACTGAAGTCACATTGATGTACTTTTTTCAGTATATTGATATTGACAGTCGCGGATTGAGCATTTCAGAGCCTCACTGCCAGTACTGGTTGGTTGATCCCGGGCCGCGTTGATGAGACTTCGATGTGAGGCCAATCATGGTTAACAGTTATCAATTTGAAATCAATTCAGAGGCAATCTTGAAGGTCAATACAAGATAATACAAGTATAATAGAATTCCGTATACCTTTTATTATATAATTCAATCGTTGCTTTTTTTGACCAGCTACAGTTATGGCCCTTAAATTTAACAGTTGTAAATGGATTAAAACTCCTGCGCCTGCAACTAGTTAGTTGATGTTAGTTGTATATATATATATATATATGGTTGGTGGTTTGGAACATGTTTCCATATTTTGTGAATAATTATCCCAACTGACTAATATTTTTCAGAGGGGTAGGTATACCACCAACCAGTATATATAATATTATATAACTATAAGACTATAAGCCAGTTATAGCTGGCTTGAGGGCTATAACTGTACCACTCTATAGGATGATCCTCCAACTTGTTCCCCTTCCAGGCACGTCTTGGACTTGGCCCATCGGGTGTTGGACGAAGATTCCTTGCCCTTTATCGATCTGATTCGAGTGGTGCGGCGGATTAGTCGCGTTTCCAAGGCCGGTCAAAGGAATTTGGGGTCCAAAGTTATAGCCCTCAAGCCAGTTGTAATTGGCTTATAGCATAACAATGTATAAAATCTAACCAACTATAGTTGCATGAGTTGTTTCATCCCATTTAAGGCCTTGTTAAGGGCCGACAATTCTCGCAGGGGAGCTGCACTGATTCATCCTGACTTAGAAGATCATAGAGGAAACCATAACCCCCATTGCTGAAAAAAACATGCTTAATGATAAAAAAACTCATTAAATGATATCTCTAAAATTGTCTAAATCCATGTTTGATCATTTTTTTCCATTAAACTTAGTGATTCTGGTTGTTTGATCCATTGATCATGTCCCATTCGTAGTGATTTAAAGGCACCAGTGACATTGGCGCGGAGGCCATGCGATTGGCAAATCCTGAAGTCATCACCCAGGTGCGGGTGCGTCTCGCTGAATGCTACGTTGGCTATCCGTAGGTTCAATAGGCATTTAGACATTTATCATACCCGTACGCAGTTATATAGTTTATATAGTTTATATACTTTATATAGTTTATATAGTTTATATAGTGTATATAGTTTATATAGTTTATATAATTTATATACTTTATATAGTTTATATAGTTTATATTATATACTAGGTTCACTCCGGTCTGGTTTTTGATGGTGTGCATCCCCTGCAAGTATGCATTCATGATGTGCCAATGAGATTGACCATGGCCACACCTTGAACCTAGCAGAACTAGTACAGTCAGCCACCCTGTAGAGAATGTGGCTCTGCCCGTTGTGGATATAGATATGTTTCCTGGTCCAGCTTTCCTTCTTGCTGCTGATATGCCCCAGAATGTGGTTCTGCCACGTTCTGGATATAGATATCCATGTTGGGCTCTTGGGGGCCATGTTGGGCCTATGTTGGGCCATGTTGTTCCTGTTTTGAACCTATGTTGGGCCAAGAACGGCGTGTTCCTTGAGGCCATTTGGGGGCTAGGTTGGGCCTATGCTGGAGGAAAAAGAATGGTATGTTGGGCTCATGTTGGGTCAAGGTATGCGGCCATGTTGGGGGTGGTGGTGAACTGCCAGGAAACCCACACTCATTCCATACGTCCGGAACACTGCGGCATGTTCCACTCCCAATTTGCTTCGCAGCCATGTTGCTACACGTACGTTATTTGACATGGCAGTTCTGCTTTCAATGTCAACATGGGTATGTACAAGCTTTGGGAAAACTTTTCAAAACAAAGAATGGAGGCTGACACAAAGCGCCGAAGAAAAAAAACAACTTGAAAAGCAGATGTTGATGCGTCATTCCTGACCCGATCTCCAAAAGCACAATGATAGAAAACTCACGCCCGTGTCAAGGCGTTGTTCCCTTGTTTCTAGTTTGGGTCTGTTTTAAGGTTGCATGGCTGGTATTTCGAATAAGATTGGAATACCCAGCTACTGGCTTGAACCCTTCGCGTTGAGATTTAACGTATTTGTGCCAGAACGGGTGTTTTTTGCCATTTGAGTGGGGTCTGAGACTCGGTTGCGTTGTTTGCGAGGAAAATCACCGCGCGGGATGAAAGCGTTTTGGAATGTCCGAACATATGGCAGACAGAATGCAAGAAAGAATGTCAGATAGAACCCCAGATCAATTGTCAGAATATATGTATATGTAAAACATTATTTGCAAGATATATATATATATATATATATGCTTTTATTGAGCCGTAGGTTCATTTGGTTTTTTAGCTAGTTTGACTAAGCAGCATGTGCTGCTGGTAAAATTCCTGCTGTGTCTTTACTCCTCCATTCTGTTTTGCTTGCCCCTTTCTCTCCCTTGACTCCTTGCTTCTTCTGCGTGCCACCTTCCGCGGCGATCCTTTCTGGGTGTTGCCTAAGTAAGTGTTGCAAGCGTTCCGCGTGGTATTCTATTTAATCTCGCGTTCGCGCCTGCGCTTTGAAGATCTAAAGCAACACAGATGTGTGCTCTTCCATTGCGGTGACACGGGTCGTGAACTGCACCTACGCTTCACAGCAGTTTTCGATTTTCAAATTTCTGGGTGACAAGGATTGTGAATTTGCGCCTGTTTATCACCTGCTTTTGACTTTGCAGTCTTCCGGCGACAATGTGTGTGAATTGCATTTATTCCATTTTTTGATTTCTCACCCATGTTTGCATTCCGGATTTCAACGACAGTTTTTTGCTGACCTTGTCAGCTCAAGAATATCCCTCTTCTCACTGGTTTGATTCAACCGAAACACCAATTGCGATGAAACCATCGTTTCTCTTAAATTGTTTGAGGCTGAAAGGATGCCTCCTTGAGCCCTTTTTTATTTCATCTTTCCATGGCATGAGCCGCTCGTGGATTCAAGCGTTTTGCAGCAGATGTCAGTTCCGCGCATGCTGAGAAGATTGACTAAAACAATTTCGCTGAGCATTTGGGACCTGAAGAAAACAGCACACTGCATCACCATATGTTGAAATCCAGAAATACTAGTCCATCGGTTTGTGTTCAGCAGTGTATTACAACTTCAACATGATGTTTTGCCTTGCAATGCCTTTTGCAGTTTGGCTGCATGGTTTTTGCGACGGTACCAGGCACTCAGCTGTGAATTGCGCTTCATTACCTCACCATGCCGGTAGCCAACAGAGGTTATGGCTTCCCAAGCCTGATTGGTTTGCAAGTTGTTTGGAGGCCAACAAGGTCAACAATCCAGCAGACAGGTGGCAAGGTTCTGAGGCTCCATCTCGGCCTGTAATGCGGGCCCTTGCATTGGTGAGGGCAGGTCAAGTCTGGGAGAGCGTGTTGACCCCATTGAATGATGAAGAATTACTTGGTTTTGATTTTTATGGATACCCTACAGATTTCTATTCTTTAGAGGTGCAAGCAGTGATGACTACAGACGAACCGTTTTTACTATCTGAAGCCCAGAAATACAAATACGTTCGGGGCCAAGATGGGGTTGCAAGGCAAAGAGGGCAAGACTTCACTGTCACTTCTTCAGTGTTGACAGTGCCTTTTTACCCATACACACCTGGCATGGCCATTGGGGACATAAAGCTTCGCCACCCTAACGGGTCACAGGTTACCTTGACAGAGGCCTTGTCCGAATGGCACCTCAGCATGTCCGATTCAAAAAGTTCCAATCTCTGGTATGATGTCTTCAGGGTACCTGGCGCAATGAGCAGGGACATTACCATTTTTTTCAACTGACTGGCCTCATTTGAGCCACCGCGAACATTCTGGCGATATTACGCATGTAAGGGGCAGATACAACAGTTGAGATAATATGAAAGGAAAAAGAGTTGAGCGGATGCTACAGCACAAATCAAGAAGTGTCGTCATAGTTGGAGTGCCACAGCACAAAATCAAGAAGTGTAAATGAACAATGGATGACACGCACAAATCACACTGAAATTGAATACCTGACCGTTGCCATTTTTGAATTTTTGGAGGGAAGGGGAAGACGCTAGAACTCTGAGAAATAACCAGCGGTGGGACGCAAGAACCCAATGAGTTTCACCGAGATAAAATCTACGAGACACTGACATAAAATCTATGATATATATTATATATATGAGATATATTGAGATATATTATATATGATATTTTTTATATATCGTAAATATTATATAGGATATATTGGTGATTCTGTAAGAGTAATTGAGATGACGATGGATGAGGTGGATGATATGAAACGGAGGTTGAAATGGAGGAGGGAGCGAGCGCTCCTTGGGTTTTAGGTGAAAAGCATACCCCTCCATTCACCTCCCATATATACTTCTTTTTAGATGTCGGTTGTTGTTGGTGTTAGGCGCAGTATGGGGGTTGCCGTTTTCATTCCTCTGTTAGGGAATGGAAACCCCTTCTCTGCCTACCCCCCTTTTTGGGTTGAATGGCATAAAATCTATGAGACACAACTGACATAACATCTATGAGACATCATTGACATAAAATCTGACAGAAATTGACATAAAATCTACGAGAAATTCACCACAACAATTTACCAGACAGCCGGGGGAGCTTGGTACAGAGTGGCTGTGCAGAGGTGGCTGGCAAACAAGCTGGCTGTCCATGCGTGGTTTTGCAGCGAAGATGCCTGCCGACTAAAAGGAAGCACGGCTTCCCCTCTGGAGCCAAGTAGATCATTAACTGGCTCCACCAATCTGTTTTGAACTGGCATCACTTGCCTGGACATGGCTGGATCTCACTGGAATGGCTCGATAGCTGCTTTCAAGCATGGATGGAATATGTTTGGTTTACACTCCACACTCTACACTCCACGCTTTACACTCTCCACTCCACTGTCTGCATTCCACACTTTAGACTCCATTCTCCGCTCTCCACGCTCCACACTCCACGCTTTATACTCCAAGCTTTCCCGCTCTACACTGCGCACTTTACACTCCACACTCCACGTTCCACACTCCACACTGTACACTCTACACTTTGCACTCCAACTCCACACTCTACACTCTACACTCCACACTTTACAGTCCACGCTTTGCAATCCACACTCCACACTCTACACTTCACATTTTACACTCCACGCATCTCCCCAGAAGCTTTGCAATCTCCAGTGTGGCAACCTGTACTCTGCCTACATATTATAGATTTTGACGTTGTACAGTTGTTTCAGAAGATTTACCATGCATTGGGGCATGCGCGCTTGCTTCCGCACCATGATCCCCATACATCCCCATAAGGGCCAAACCCCCAACCGGACCGAGTGAACCTAGTAAGTTTATATAGTTTATATAGTTTATATAATTTATATAGTTTCTATAGTTTATATAATTTATATAGTTTATATAATTTATAGAGTTTATATACTTTATATAATATATATATAGTTTATATAGTTTATATAGTTTTTATAGTTTATATAGTTTATATAGTTTATATAGTTTATATAGTTTATATATATATAAACCAAAATCAAAGTGGGGAGCACTGCACCTTGTACGAGTTGTGTCCCAGGTTGCCTGGCATTTTTTTGGTCGGCTTCGAACCATCAATGTTCCATGCTGAATTGGTTTAGATTTTGGGAAGCCCAGCTGGAGAAAGTTGCACCATTGACGAAAGAAAAGAGCTGGGATTGATGTCACCAACTTATTCAATTGGTGGGCCCGGGGCGTGGTAGGGGCGCTTCATTCGTAGCTATTTTCGTGATGTTTCTTGCCCCAGGTAGAGTAGTGGATAATCTGAGATAATCTGGTGCTCCTTTGATAGCTGAGGTATTCAGCTTGCTAATGATGCAAACTGTGTTTCTTTGACCGAATTATACTTGATGGTTATTCATCGGAATGTTTGTATTTTTGTATGCAAACCTCTACTCATTTTGGAGTAGTGCTGCAGACAGAAAATGGAACTGTCAAGCAAAAAAAACACAAACATTGGAATCTGTTGGAAACTGCCATATTCTACCGATTTCAGGATGATTACATATGGAAGATATGGAACATCTCTTGTTCATGTTCATATTCTACCAATGTTCAGCATCGGGCTTGATCCAAATTTATGTTCTTCCTCAAGGCACACATGTTTGCTGTTGAATATAGCATTCTACCTCAGTCTTGGGCTTGCTAAATTCCCTTGTGGTTAGCTGGTGAAATACCAATGCTGGTTGGTGGTTTGGAATTTGGAACATTTTTTATTTCTCCATATATTGGGAATAATCATCCCAACTGACTTTCATATTTTTCAGAGGGATTGAAACCACCAACCAGAATGTTTGTTGCACATTTTACATCCACAGAGCTGAATTCCCGTGATGAAGAACTTCAACCTTTGATTGCTCAAACCTTGAAATTCTGCTGGTGAATTCTCTGAGTTGTTTGATAGCGATGAAGTGTAGCCACACACTCTTGCTTGTATCTGTTACAGTATCTCAAATCTCAGTCCTCTGTACCAAAAATATCTCGCTAATCCCTTCCCCAAACCACATAATATTAACAAACAACAATATGGTTTAGTGATGTTTAGTGCATTTTCATCACTGCTGTTTAAAATATCAACAAAACGATCAAACTTTCCTCCAGGAGTGCCTCCAAGATGGCTGTAAGCCCTTGAGCAGCGCTGAGGAAGCGAGGTGCAGACCATTTGCTGCTCCAGTAGGTATGGTTTTAGGCTGCACGCACATAGAAACCCGCAGTGGTTTCTGTCACGTGTTAGTTTTGGAATTCTGATGTTTAGTTGAGTTGGCTGTTCCGAAGGCATTTTGATGTTGTTTTTTCATGGTTTTTCCCAATGTTTTTGGCATCTAGGATATCTTAGCTGAATCGTGGAACGAAACATCGATAATTTGAACTCTTGGAACAGGCTTTTTGAGAGACCGCAAAACTAACAATCTATAAGATTCCATGTTGAACAGACTTCTGAGTGCTTGCACGAATGTAACATTGACAAAGTTGAAGATCGAATGCCTCGCACATGTCTCGGATGCGGCCAAGTGGGACATCGCTTGGAAAGCTCATGGAACGTGAACATACCCCACCCCACCCCATCCCCCACCCCATCCCCCATCCCCCATATATATATATGTATATATATTATATGTATACATGTATACATGTATATACACAGGCGGATTTATTCTTATGTGCATAACTGTAGCATGCGTGGCGTAGCATTGACAACGTGTAATGTTCATGGAACGTTAGCATGCCCCACCCCACCCCATCCCCCACCCCCCAAGACACAAATAATTATGCCATGCATTTTGTAGTGCGGGTTTCTACATGCGTGAATGGCTTTAGTTATACTCCTCAAGCCACAAAAATAACTGGCTTAGTCAGTGATATTGAAAGATATATATATATATTTATATTTATTTAATACGTATATATATAGCCAACGTTAACTACCTAGTTGGAAGACTTATTTCATCCCGTTGGCCCTGTCACCTCCATAGAGGTTTTCATAGTCATGGGGGTAGCTCGGTACCCCAAATCGTTCTTGAAATCCATGGGAACTTGGATGGGCAATTGCACCCTGATCGGATGGGGCATCCTGAAGAGTCCCCATGAAAACTCCATTGTTAATGGGAGAATCTGAAGTTTCATCTCTTTATATACGTACAATTACGCACATTTTACATAAATATATATAATACATATACTCCTTCATGTATATAGTAACCATTGAACATGTTTGAAGACTTATTGACCACTATTTTAGAAGGATTGTACTTTCAAAACTTGTTGCGGTGTGCCTGCAGGCAGTTGGCAAGCTATGTCTACCATGCGCTGCCTGGTTCTGTCGAGATGCCGTGGGGCAATCGTGGGGTAAGAACTGGTCACTGTAGAAATACATTGAAAATACGTAGAAAATCATAGAAATATTATGTTTGATTATTTGTGATCATTTTTGTATGTTTCTCCAGCTTGGGCAATGTTTTATTATGTTTTATTCAAGACTTCTACACTAAAATCGTCAGAGACTTCTTGGTCCATGCCTTGTGCTGAGCCCATGGAGAATTTCATGGAACTATAATTGGAATATCAAACATGGGTGGCGGGAAAATTCAGCGAACTATATAAAAATATAAATGGAGTATTTTCCAGCAAACCATATGTGAGTAGCAGAAGATATGCCTACATGTTTCTATTCCCTGAAATCAAGTGAAATTCAAACAGCTCTAGAATTTTCCCAGTTTTGTCATATTTTTTCTGGATTTTACATTGCCAGGTGAACTTACCAGACGCGACCCAATGAGGCAGTTGGTCTATGAAAGTGATACGGATGTGGTACGGCACCGTGTTTTGGCACGGTGGGTGGGGAAACCTTGAAGGGGTAGTATTTGTCAATTTTGCTTTTGGATTTATACGACACTATAGTACTACACTTTTTATTTATATATATATAATGGTGAATTTATTGGCTATGGCTATGACTATGACTATTTGGATTGGATATTGTTTTGGATATTACTGTATATGATGTATATGACTATAGTATATTATAATATATAAGCCATTTGATTTTAAATTTTACCAAAGATTAAAGATTGGCAATATTTGGTGGTCATAGATCAGACGTTCGAACTTTTTCACGATGCCTAGTAGCGGAAAACAACAACTCTTGATGGTCTGCAATGATATCGACAGCTCTTTATTGATTTGTCATGTATCTTTATCATCCTGTGTATAGATGGAACACCGAGCCCTAATTGACCAATTGTTGGATGGGTCAAACCATCAACTAAACAGCAGAGTGCTGTGCTTAGTACCCTCTAGCTATTTAACATGGCTATGGGAAATGGCCCATTTATAGATGGTTTACCTATTAAAAATGGTGATTTTCCATGGCTATGTTAAGTAACCAGATGGTAACTGAAGTTATGAGCCACTTATCAATGATATCATCGCAGTCAGGGAACTTGCTGACCACAAATACTATCTACTTTCTATATCGGATGACTCTGCAAGGTCTTAAAACTGGTGGTGTCAACAGGGACGACTGGTTTCATCCAAAGAGCATTCGCCCAGGGTTGACGACTTGTGGGATGATGCTCATCCAGCACAACAAGGATAATGTGCGGTTGAAACACCTGAAACCATCACAGTCACTGTCGTCGTCATTGTCATCGTCATCGTCATTGTCATCATGATGTTTATCTTCATTTTCTTCCTTAGCGTCCTATTATGATCTGTATGCTTCGTCACCATCATGATTATGTGATGATCAATCAATATCACTTGACCCCTTGAAGGGAGGCACAGCTTCCCGGTTCCTTTGAGATCAAGAAACATCACAAAACCCATGGTAGTGTAGATGGGTTTTCTCTGTGTGGATCATCATGATGACCTTTGTAAGGAGCCTAAAATGATCTAAAATGAGGCTTTCTAGCCGGAATCCCAGTAAGTTTGTTTATAGATGTTTATTGCACAGGTATAGAATACCGGAGTCTCGCGATAAGTGCAACACACCCATGTAAATTGTGCAGAAGTTCTTGCAACAAGACCCAAACCTGCTTGGGTTTGTCTGAAAAGAGGGTAACCCGAAATTGAAAGTCATATATCTATATATATATAATCACACTTGTCTCATTGAAATGGTCTTTTTCGGGTTATATATCAAATTTTCAGACACATGACTTTCCACTTTCACAATTATTAAACGCATGTCATGTGCTGTGCACCACTTACCCTCTGGTAATGAAACATTGCTTGCTGGAAAGTTTCCCAGCTGTAAATCTACATGGATAGCGCGGGGATTTCACAGCGGCCGCCAAGTTTGATATTCCCACTTCCACAATAGGTATTACATATATGATACTATTCCAAGATAGTAGTTGGACATTGAATGTTCAAAATCAATGAAGACCCACGAACATGGACGTACATAAAATTGAAATCCCGTGAAATCTTATGAACCCAATGAATTCCCATTTTTTAGTCACATGAATTTCCATGAAATCACCCGTGAACTCACCGGTGAAATTGTCCGGAAAAATGACACTGCCCGGCAGGAGAACAACACGGGCCGCGTGGCCAACTATTTTGCCATCGATCCCAGGCGGGCGCCGCGCGTCGCGCAACGCGGCCCAGGGTGCTGAGTTTTTTTTGGTGCCGAGGACAACGGAATTTAGATAGACTTGTTGGTTCAAATCCAATCCTAAAAAAGTGAACAATTATGATGGATGATAGCTGATGATACATGATGATAAATCATGATAAACATGTGATGAGAGATGAATGATGAGAAATGATGATCAATGACAAATTATGACACATGATGACAAATTACAAATTCATGATTAATGATGACAACTTATGAACAATTACTATTTATGGCTGTCAGCAACCAGTATGTTATGGGATGGGATTGTTTTGTTATATTCATGGCTCAAATAATGCGGCTAATCCATCATCAAATATCAAATTATCGATTTGCTTTTTGGTTGGTTCATGTTGAACACATGGGGTTTATGGATGAACCCCCCAACTGGGTATGAGTTATGGGTATACTTGTGTTTGATTTGTTGTTGGAGTCAAGTCATTTTTTCCCACAAACAAATGTCCCGGACACATTCTGAGTGGTGCGTGCACGGTGCACGGCAGTGGCAGAGCGCAGCACGAGGTTCAATGTCCAACAGGTCGCTTTGTACACGTTGCAAAGAGGGGTGAAGGAGTTTGCCCCCACCCAACTTCCATGGTATCAAGCCAGCCTAGGGCACAAACTTCAGATGTTTCCAGCAATTGGTAGTGTCACGAACGCCCACCTGTGCATTAACCAGCCAGCGCAGTTGGTGCTAATGCTGTCTAGTAACCAACGTGACTGAAGCAGATCGAAATTGATTCGGCTGCCTAAATCAAGAAAAGTGGAGAGGTGGGATGCTGCACCCAGGTCTTCAAAACCTATAGGTCAAAATAGGCCAAAAACACTGGAAGTGTGACCCGTGTTCGAAACACTTTTGCAGCAAGGTTGCGCCGCTCGAACTTTGCTACCGCCATGTTTCTGAGCCGGCTCAAATCTCATAGAATTACTTTCGGGTGCTGCTTCATGTTGTCTCCAACACGCCCAGAAGCGGGATACAAGGTGACCCACGCAGCTCATTGAAGCTTGCTTGCACGATCCAAACGCATCTTTGGGCAGCGGTTAGGCTTGTCGAATTATAACATCCTTGCGGCTGACTTACAGACCGCGCCGCCCCAAAGTTGCTGTCGAGGTTGAAGCCATGCATTGCTTTGAAGGAAGCTGCGATGCCCACAGGCAAGTTGCACATAGTCATCCACCTGGATGAAGTCGCGCGCCAGGCGCCCAAAATGCAGAGCAAAGTTTTGAAGGTTGCGAGCACACAGGCATTGGGTGGCTGCAGGGCACAGTGATGGTGATCTCATCTTGCACATGACCAGGAGTAGCCATGATCCTCCAAGTGGCATTGGAGATGCAAAACAATTAAATGCAAATGCCTTTGTGACGAAAGGACCGCACAACGAGGAAAGGAAGCCATGCTTTAACGATCTCCCAAGCATCGGTTGAAAACAGCATACTGGAAAGACTTGGGCCGAGGGCTGTTTCCCACGAACAAATAGGAAACAAATGTGCCATTGTCGGAACATTGTATACTAATGATGGGTATAATATAACTATCAAAACTGCTGATTTACCATCAAGAATTGGGATTCATGGGATTCAACTAGGACCATGCGATAATGCGCTGGAGAAAAGCCATCTGACTGACCTAGTTCTTAATTTGCTTGCCCACATTAGAAATCGTTTATGTATATAGATTAGATATCCATTTCCATTTATTTCTGACCCGACGTGATTCGACCCAATACTAAATCACGAAACCCGGGCATCCTGGTGGAATGGCCTGCAGCGTGAAGTTCTAAGTTGGTTTGTAGACCCATGAGTTACTATTTTTATATTTAGATTACCAATAAACCATAGTTTTTAATAAATTTAAACCGGGAATGTTCAAACGACAGGCAAAAGATCGCCGTGTTGGCGATTAGGGGCACTTCGACCTTCGAGGCCGGCGGGCCATGGCTGGGCTGTTAGTCTTTGAAACCCTTGTTGGTTGATGGTGATATGATGATATATTCAGTTGTGTTCCTTTAGTGGGATGAAATAACAGCGCCTGGTACTTTTAAGGCTCTCTGCGTTCATTTCCCCCCGTGGCAAGTGTCGAAGTGGCAAGTGCCGAAGCAAAGGTCAATAGCGTAACATCACTTCTGATAGACAATGTAGAAGCAAAAATCAATCGCTCCTGAACTTAGCAGACATTGAACGTTATTAGCCACCCCCACGCCCAACCCGAAACGAAAGATCGCGAAATGCGTCAGAGATGTGCCAAAATGCGTATCGCAGGAAGAACGCGAACAACATCCACGTCCAAAGAACATCTCTTGTCACGTCCAAAGCTCTTGAAAACCTGGTGTGAGAGGAAACCACACAATGTGTCTACATAGAATGAAAACAACGAAAAAAAACACGTTCAAAACAAACAAAACAACCAGGCGCCCTGCAGCGACGTTGGCAACTAGTTTTATATCATGAAATATGTCAGGTGCTGTAGTGATTTAACTAGACAGGATCATACAGTATGGCACTACAATCACCATAGTTGTTCATGAAATCCCAACTATAGTGATGGCAACCAGTGTGATAGTCCCTTATACATGATTTAATGGATTTAACTTCTCCATCATTCATCAGTGGTTTTTGGGGTGTTACCATCAAAGATAAGGGGATGAGATTGAGCAATGGTCATTGGTTGGTGATTTGTTCGGGGATTACACTACCGTAGGCTACCCAATATATTTTGGATCATTGTCCATGAGCTGGGGATCCCCTTCTGAACCAATCACCTTTTGATGACCCTCAGCCTGGTTTGCAGCACCAGGACGCAATCACAGATATCATCGCGGAGACTGAACCACTGCACATCGTTGGCCAAAAGGTTCTCAATGCTGTTTTGGTGGCAGGCAGGGCTTCAACCGCCAATCAAACGTGGCTGGAAAATCCATCATTACAGATGATTGCCAAATCTCTGGCCCACAGGTGGTACAGCTTCCAACCATAAATAGTCCAAAGGAAAACAAGGGCCGCTGACCCAGCTGGCATGCCACCAAAAAAAAAACGGCAAAGCGCCGCTCCCTTAAGGAGAGGTACCTAATGCTAAGCATGGATGATTTTCCCAGCTTGAAACCTCCATTTATTATCATTTGTTGGGGATTTGGCATTGTCATGTTTTATTACCAGATATCACCAGAGGGTAACTCTTCGTTTTTTGAAAACAAACATTTTTTTCTGTGACTGCGTCGTGTTTAATGACGATCTACCTGTTGATGCATGCATGCCCCAAAACCTGACGAAGATCGCAGGCGGATCCAAGGCCAGGTCCTAGAGACCCCTTTAGAACTGAGAGATCTTTGGTTTGTATTGAATTGGGAAGCTTCGTCTAGAAGTGAGATATCTCAACATAGACTGATGTGCCTTTCAGTGGTGTGTTTCTTGCCATGGTCTCAAGAATGAAGATCAGAACACGGCCGAAGGGTCTCGAAGGACCAATAAAGTAACCGTTTCCCTAAAACCGATTCCTGGTCATGGGTAATTACGTTACTGTTTTTCCCTAGTATTAAACACTCACTTGGATCGATGAATTTCGCGCCTTCATTTGAGCATTTAATCTATATGAGGGCCGGAAGGGATTATACCATTTCACCAACTGCAAGTTCTAACGGAAATAAGTTATAAGCCCGTTCTGGGTATAAGATAGTATCGGTATAGATATATTTCTAGCTCCAAGTTACCCAAATTCAGAAAATGTACATATACTATGAATCCATCGTACTCCAGACCTGTCTCTTTGGACCCACTGTTTTCCCAACCTGATTCCCTGTGTGTGACATGTTTCACACCTGTGAAATGACTGGTTGCGATGGGAAGACCTTTCAGCTCAATTTGGAAATTGTTTGGCACCATGTCGATGCCTTGTGTTGTTCCTGAAATGCTATGGAGCCTGGATGAGCTAAAGCGTGTCCTGACAAGTGAATTTCCCATTTTGGAGACTGAAGAAGGAGAGGGTTTCAAAATATTGTTTGACTTGTTTGTTGAGTGGGCTGAAATCCTGTTAAATTACAACAACCAGCATCCGCTCGCTCTGTTGAATTTGGGGAATTGTGGCCCAGAATCCTTCTCTCAGGGGATTTCCGGCCGCGCATACTCATGTCGCATCGCACTCGAGGGGTGTCATCGCACCACAGGGGACCCCATCGCACTCCACACACCTACTCACAGATCATCGTACTCCACAAAAGGGATCGTACACCAGAAAAACTTGCGCAGACAGCCAAAAACATTTTTTTTCGAAAAATTGACCTGAAGAGTTGTTTTTATTTTTTTCCTCTTCGGAGGTAAAATGCTCTGGAATCTGATAATATGGAATATGGGGGAAATTGTTGTTTTTCCAGCGTTTTGAGCAGTCGCGCATACAATCGCATTCCATGAAATTTTGATACTTTTGACCTGTGGAGGCTATGGAAATTCTCGATTGTTGTCTTAGTCGTGCGCGATAGAGTGTGATGCCTTGTGGGTGTGTGGAATGGAATTTGCAGCCTCGATTTGGTCAAAAATGATATTCACATATGCCTGAGAAGCCCACATGCAGGAACGGCAACGCATACGGGGGGGGCATCGTACTCCCTAAGCGCTCTTCTCGCCGGTAATCGCACAGCGCGAAAATTGCAAAACTTTTCGCAAAAAGTCAAAAAGTCAAAAAGTTTTCGACTTTTCGACTTTTCGAATTTTTTGAATTTTTCAAACTTTTCGACTTTTCGAATTTTTCGACTTTTCGAGCAGAAATCTCCTGGAATGTGAACTTTTCGACTTTTCGAATTTTTCGATTTTTTCGAACTTTTCGACTTTTCGACTTCGAATTTTTCGACTTTTCGAGCAGAAATCTCCTGGAATGTGAACTTTTCGACTTTTCGAATTTTTCGATTTTTTCGACTTTTCGAGCAGAAATCTCCTGGAATGTGAACTTTTCAACTTTTCGGGTGAAACTTTTCTACCACGGTTGGAGTTTTCAGCGAAAAGTTGCGTTTG